AAAATTGCTCACATCAGGCTCCAACATAAGCTATTAAAATGGATATGTTCAGATACCCAATATAAACAACTTCAACAAATAGAATTCAACCAGACACGACTAAATTATTAAATATAGCACTCATAAAAAACTCTGCTCACTTCAATTTATATTGAATATAGCATTCATAAAAAACTTGGCTCACTTCAATTTATACACATCGGCATCCCTAGCTTATAAACATGAACGTTTCCATCGAGATGAATTGAAGCAGAAAACAGCACTGGAACTTACAGATATGTGTTTACTCTGTTTGTCCATCCAATGCATCAGATTTGCCCTTATTCGTGCAACAGCATCATACCAAAAGGTGAGTGCAGGTTCAACACCAGAAGGAGGCCACTGACCTTTCCCACCATCAGCAAGTGGAGCTAGTATATTTGAAAGCATGTTGCACAGTGCATGATGAAGTTCACTTTTACGCTTGTGAGGTGCACGATGTAAAGGGTTAGCCTTAGCAACAAAAGAGGCTGACGCATTTAGACCACCCTCTGTTTTGACCTGAAAACCACCACTCATCATGCAATGGTTTGGTAACAACTTAATCGGTGACTTTTTAATTCACACATACCCCAAGCTTAAGGTACCGCATCCCGTTGATAATACTAAGCGTTTCACTTCGTGCAACACTGGTATCAATCCGGCGAGTATTCAGTTCCATGAAAAAGCGTTCGGTCACAGAACTAAATCTGTCGAGCAAAACAAAAATGTTGCAATGCACGATTAGATTGTAGTATTGAAGCATTTTTCACCATCCATACTTGTTGGCAGATGTAACTAATAAGAAATTGAAGAAATTTTTATCGCAAAGCAAACCAGATGCAGACTCATCCATATTATAGTTTAATTACATTTTAATATTACAGCTCTTGGAAAGACCTTTTTGAATAATAGTATTAAGTGGAATGGAGAAGATAATAAATTGACCAAAAACAATTGATAGTTTCGCCAGCATTCAAAGCTTGCAACACCGAGATGACCGCATGTGCATGGATGGAAAAGGTACCAACACTGACTAATAATAACCCAATCTCCATAGTACAACTATGAACATCAATAACATAAGAGCGATTTGTTACCTGATACGTGACAAAGCACCAAGTAGTTGGGCAACTAAGTCCAGGAGAAGTCCCCTTAAGTCAACAAGGGAAGGATACTCAACTTGGCTAACAACCCTGAAATCAGAAACATTTCGTTTGTATCCACCAAAAAACGAACAAATATAACTTCAACCATGGAATGCAAGAAAATTATCAAGGTCGTGTAAGCAAGTAGAATCCGGAGCTTTTAGATAGTAAGAATTTTGATTCTTTCGGACAAACAGTTATTGCTCACAGGACCACGTTCCTCGCACTGAAGCTCAAAGCTCAAGATTAAAAAACTAAACTATAACATATACACATTCATCCAAATACATACAACAAATGAATTTTAACTTCCTCCGGAAAGCAGTAGCAGAGCATGACATTATGACGTGAAGATTTAAGATATATTTAGTTTTTGGGAAGCGCCCACCACATGGAACTAATCAGTTGATCTTCTTAGCAGTTATCACTTAGACCCATCTCCAAGGGGTCTGTTACACAAAGAGAATATGAGAGAACACATTCAACTTAAAATGACAGAGAATCTCAAGTGTCCTCACAAAGATACAAAAATGACAATTTTTTTAACTAATCATCCCTCGTTTCAATGCGAGCAACAGCTACAAACTATGTACCCACAATAATATGGCGATTTAAATATCCTACAGAAATTTTTATATTTTATTCCGTGAGGCAAGAAAACGTTAGTCCACAGTGGAAGTGGAATGCATGCACTACAACTGGAGCAGCTGAGGATGACATATCAGTAGTGTATACTAGGCGGTGAAAACATGTAAACGCTCGGAAAATTTAATATAGCAGCATTCATCAAATTGAAATTGAGATCAAATGATCGTTACCTGTCTGCATTGATTAGCCAGTCAAAGACAAAATTCTCAAGCCCAATCCAAAGTTTTTCTGCCAAACAAGAGGCCCGTCAAATTCCCATATAGGCTATTTCTTCCTCAAATAATTGGAGAAGATCCACAAGAGGAAAGGTACATGACTGGATACTAAGTCAATAAAATTAGAACTAGGTTCTCTGTAGACGGTTAAGAATTCATGAAGCATTAAAGCATAAAAGGCACCTGTAAGTCCTTCTTGTGGGCAGCACTCCACAAAGCGGATACAAGCTGAACAAAATATGCATTCAACTGCCAGCTGTAAAATAAAAAACACTAAGGCCAAGTTAGTTTGAATTGCATGTGTACAAAGCTTCACAATTTAAGGTTTCGTGTTTAAAAACGAATTAAATGATGTTTCTTAGGGATCATTACAGAAATTTGAGATAACACTTCTTTCAGAACTAAGATTGTCAATTTCTAACCTTTCTCACGAAAAATTCAGTCATGACTAATATTAGCTCATGCATTCTATCTAAGGTTACCACTCTATTAAATATTCCCAAGTATAGCGGGCATGACCCTTTTCAAAGAGTAAGTTGACTCTTTCTCACGATGCTTCCTCTCATTAGGTAAATCACTTGGAAAAAATGCATCAGTACAACTTCCAGCATAACTCCCACTGTTTTCTTTAGATTGACTTGGAAG